CCCGGCGGTTGATCTGGGAGAGCTGCTCTTGCACCCTTTTCGGCTGATGCGTGAGGTTTAAGCAGTTCTCGGTTAAGGGTTTTGCAGACCGTGACCTGCTTCTTGCAAACGAGTCTTATCCCAAGGCTATGACACACTCTGATTTTGGCATCATGCTGTGCACGCACCCACCAATTCTGGGTTGTGAAAGCAGAGTTTATGCCTAGCAATTGCACAAACCAAGGCCCTTTAGCTGGTTGAACTGACTGTGGTTCAATGGTGGCTTAGCTCGATACCCAGACTAAACCACTGGCTCACTGTGCTGTAGAAAGCCCATCTATTATTGTCCACAGTGGAGGCGTCAAGTGGAGGAATGGTTCAGTCTCCAAGGGCCCTCCTGCAAACTGCTCGTACAGTTCCCCGCAGATAGAATCGGCCTTTGGGCAACTGGTTTTGTAATGTTGTGGCACTCTTTGGGGAAAACAGGGTCGAGGAGATGCCAGCTTTGTTCTTTCCAGAACAGTGAGCTTCTGTGTTGTTTGCAGACATCAATATTCCAAGCTGACTTTCTGTATACTACATGCACAAGTTGTTCTGCCCCAGGGTGGGATAGCAATGGTTGGCTTCATCTGCAAAGGCAAGATGGAAAAGTGAAACCAGCTTCTTCATGCAGAGTTCACCGATGGAATTTACTGCTTCTGGAGGTAGATGTGTGGCCCCTATCTTCTGGGGTTTCAATGGTGACTGCATCTGTCCATGACAGATGCAAATCTTGGCAGCCAGATGGCTGATGGCCTCCTTTAAACGTCCCCTGCTGGGTGTGATGTGAAAGAGGAAGCCTATACTGATGCACTCTATGAAGGGAGACCTAGTTAGACCGCTATTCTTCTCTGCGCCTTTCTGTCCTTACAAACCATCCGTGCTTCCATCAAGTCCAAACACCTCTGCAGGGCCCTTTGTTTCTTGAAATGACTCCCCTCTTTCTCTTTTAGGATCTCAACTCCATCCAACCATTACTTTGGTCTACAAGATCCCCACTCCCTTCATAGATCTGTATTTTTTGCCATTCAGTCTTCTTTCTGTAGAACATGCCACGTTCTGTAGGACCATTCAACGTTCTTGTCCTGCTCATTCCCTTGTGGACTCAGTCCACCTTCATTCACCACCCATTCATTCCTGAGCCTTTCTCAGTTTAGCAGGCCAACTTCTTAGCTGCCCTGCTCCCATCCAACTATCTTATCCTTTTCCTGACATCCCCAACTTTCACTTCCATACAATGAAGAGGGCAGAAGTACATCTTATGCCCAACCATTTAGCTTTTTTTCGACAAGCATTCCTTGCAAGAGACCATATACTTACCAGCTACCTTTCTATGAGTATTTGTACATTTTTTTGAAAAAGGGGTGGGGGATTCAGGAACCAAGAATGGCTCCGTCCAAGCTGTTTGGAAAGAACTAGCCTGCCCTCTACAGACCATGGGTGAAAAGAGCTGAGCTTGTAGTAATGGAGTTACTAAAGAGCTGTAGGAATTACTAGTTACTAAAGAGCTGTAGTAATGGAGTAGCTTTAAACAGACTGTGTACACATGTGCGCGCACACCCACACACATGCACAACGTAAGCACGTTGCTGTTAATTTTAGCAGGACAGCCTGTTCCAGCCCCCCATGTCTGTTTCAAAATACAAGTTGGGGTTAAATACCAAGCTAAACCATTTGGCTTCGATTGACCATGTTGTGCAATGGCTACCAAGATCTGCAAGCCACATTCCATTTCATAAATGCACCATTTCCGTAGAAATGAGGGCTACTATAGTCTGCACAGCAGATCAAGGGCCACCCTACAAAAAAGGTAGGTCTGGAGGGGTCAGTGTTGGTAGCACCATTCATTTCTTTTTTAACAAAATGTTAAGCTCCAGAGGGTCAGTGTGGGGGAGTGGTGAAGGGGCTGGACTTGGAACAGAAAGGGCCAAGTTGAAGCCCCTCATCTGGGACTGACTTTGGGCCAGTTCCTCCCTCTCAGCCCAGACAACTTCACAGGGTTGCTGTGGGGAAAGATAAGGGGCGGAACCACCATGTTGGCCTCAAGTCCCTGAAGGAAAGGCGGGATATGAGAAGCAAATAAACGACTGTGTTGTTTTATTTGAGAATTAACGTAGCTGGGATTCCTGTGACAGCAAAGCATGGCTTGTCTGAAGCTTAGCATGTTCCATGCACCCAAACAGTCGTTTGTAAGCCATGGTTTCTGAATTAAAAATGTTGTGAGAACCAATCAATTACAGTTTAATAAACTGAGAACAAACCAGGGCTTGATATATGTGGAAGCATGATCGAGTTGGCCCATTTATTTTCCCACTGTTGTTTTAAATAGAGTGTTCTTAATGCATCCAGCAGCCCTCTTGGTGGTAACACGGAAGCGGTTCTTGGGGGGTGCTTTTTCCAGCTTTTCAAACTAGCACTTGGGCCCAAGATTTCCTGGAGGTCTCCCATCCAAGGGATAACCTTGGTTAACGTCTGAGCCTAACAGCACTCTGGAAGACTGCATTTTGGCTCTCCTCTCTCCTAAGGCTCTGGTCACATGCACAAGTGTGTGCATGCGAAGGTTACTACTGCCCCACGTCGGGAGTAGAGTGGCATCAAAATCTGAACGAATAAATAAATGTTATGAGTGTTCAAAAGCCGATTTCTGGCCCTACCTTTCTTTTTCATACAGATTACCCATTCCCTCTTTTTTCCGCCATTTCAATTTTCTGATTCCTGCCCTATTTCTATTATCACTCCTATTCTGGAATCCGATGCACCTTCTGGAACCACGTGAGAAACCCACTTTCTCTTTCAGCGCGCAGCTCCCCTTGACCTACTTTTCCTTAACAGTGAGCACACGACGTCACAGTGGGACTGAAGCCTTTGAAAGTGCCAGAAAGTATTTTTGAACAAGCACACAGAGTCCCTTTCTTTCATCTGCTCCATGAATAGCAAAAGCAAATCCGCCCCACTGTCTGCCACAAAGGACTCTGGTACCTGCCCAAGCCCTGCCTTGGGCTTTGTATTCTGACGTACAAAGTGAGCTTGCAGAAGGACGAAGGATGGGTTGAAACTCAGTGAGAAACACACCACTCCAGTAAGGGCAGATGCCTCTGCAGCAGAACCTGGAAAACCTCTATGGGTAGCCTGGATGTCCTTGAGATGTGCTGGATTTCAAATGGCTATGGTTGGCTGAGAAACGGGAGTGCTAGTTTATCTTATGCTGTGCCTTCTGTGAATACGTGTGAAGGACACTCACTTGGGGAGGGCTGGAAAAGATGAGACTGGGTCCTTGATACTCAGATGGTCTGAGCATGTAAAAGGTAAGACAAAAGATCATCTTCAGAAAGATATAAAAATCAGGGATCCCTCTTCAACCATCTCGCCACAGGACCATGCACAACAACTTCTTCCAACAGTGGATGCTTACAAGTATGGAACTGGGTTCCTAATTCAATCTACTTGTATGTTACTTTTTGGTTAAAAGAAATTCCCTTTCCCAGGGGACTATAAAGAAGCACACTGGGTTGTGTGCAGATGTGACATGTAGTAAGTAGGTTTGCTCTAATCCACACCAACAGATATCTGTGTTCCCATCTCTGCTCTGTAGGTGATTTGTAAATGGAGAGACGGTCTCAATGAAGCAGAGGAAAAGGCAATGGCCACTGAATTGATATTCAGGGTAGACAACACAGAGCCCTAACAAAGCACAGCAGGAAACAGCAAGGGCAAGACAACTTTTTAGTGTTCTGTAAATCTAAATTATTGCTTTCAAAGAGATTGTGGCAAACTGAACTGGGAAAAGGAAGGCTATTTAAACAATGTACAACCCCCAGAACGAACAGAGTATGCTTGAATTTATTCAATAGTTTCAGGGTTTAAAAAGCCAGAGAGATGGCCTTAAGGCATTTTTATAATACCTTTAGATGTCATGTTATTCAACGCTCCAGGCAGCTTAGACTTGAACTCATGGCACTATCAAATAGCAAAGGCTTAAAAGCTAAGTTCAGAACTGTTTACAACAGTATGAACTGGTGGGTTTCTATGAAATGTACACAGCAGCCAAGGAAATCGGGACACGTTAACAGAACATTATCTCAGCCCTTTGTTGTAACATATAGCAGTGAATTCAAAGCTCAAAGTGGCTTTGAATCCTCATGACAAATTTAAGGATGTGAACTGGAAAAACCACCTGTTGGGACCAACATTATAGAGAGAGAAGAGAGACACTGAAGCAAAGAGAAAGCAGCACGGCAGTTGATGGTTACCAATTTTTACCCAGACCACTTTTCATCCAGGCCTACCCTATTTCTCATCGACCCACTTCCTGAAGTGCAGCCCTTGACAGTCCTCTGAAAGCTGAGGATGGGCCCCAATTGGAAAAGTTTCCCATACTTGCATAAGACTATCAAACAGGTACAGCCATACAGAGGAGTCTGCTCATTTTTTTGCTGGAGAACCAAGACAGGCCACTGTCTGCAGTTCAAGATGCTTTACTGTATTAACAAAACCAGAGGTTCAGGAGTTCACTTGTATCTCAGTGTTTCGGGGGGGGGGGGGGTAGTGTGGAAAAAAGAAGAAACGATTGCCAGAGTCCAAAATAGATGTTGCATCTGTTAAGCAGAACCACAGACTTCCTCCCCGACTCCAAAAAATTCTGAAATTTTGCATTTGGTATGGAGGCATGGTAGTTCTTTTAGGTAAGCTGGTGGTGAACCTACAGCTCTGTTCCTCTGCAGCTTTTGAGGCAAGACCATGCGTGTCAAAGGTGACACACCATATTTTGGGTGACACACCAGCATTCACCAACACCTGACAACAACCTATTCTCCCTGTCTGAGTTACCAAAAAAACTGAATTTGTTCTACTCGTATTTCATTTTTGTAATTATTTGACGTTTCTTTATATAATACATGGTATCACACATGATTGGACTGTATTTTTTAAAATAAATGAATATGTAAAGAATTGTTTCACTTTTGTTTGGGAGGGGGTGACATGACACCAGAGCCAAGTTAGCATTTCCCGAATTTTTGACATGCCGAACCCAAAAGGTTTGCCATCACTGACTGACCTAGAGTGTTGGAGCTACCAAACCATTTTCTCCAACCTGCGTTGGCCAGCAGGAGCAACTGCATGGTATGGTAAAATAAGTCAAGATGGCGGCCAGAACAGTGCAACTGAAACTCTGCCTGTTTTTTACACGCCCTGCACAGCCACAGCTTTGATCATAGTGTTCTGGCCACCATCTTGACTTTTTTACCATACCCTGGGGACTTTCCTGTTGGCTACAGAGGTTCTATGATCTCTTCTGGGTTTGGTCTATGGCAAACTGGTCAAGAAAATAGCCTGGTCAAAACTGGTCAAAAAAATGTTTGATCATCCACTCGGTTTTCTGTAGGAGAAAGCTGATACTTCATTGTAGCGTTGTGAACAAAGTCATGAACACACAGGCTTCATTTTTTCTTTTCTTTCCTCTCTTGCTTCCCAATCCTTTGCCCTGGTTTATTACTTGAAAACCAATTTCCTTTGCAATCAAGGGACAAAAACTGCTCTTTTAAGAAAACAGATTTAATATTTTAGGTGTGTTTTCATAGTCTGCACATCTTGATGCCATTATGAAAATGCACACAGCCCTTCAAGAGTTTATACAAGATTAGTAAATAGAACAATACTTAAAATAATTCCTAGAAGACATGAAGTGACAGCTGCAGCCACCTCAAAGTCCATGGAAGAAATGTTGCTTGACACAAGATTGAGCAAATGCACATCTTAACATTTTGGATCCACACAATTCACACAGTTTCATGTACAGATAAGCATTCTGACCAACTAACCTATATCCAGTTACCTTTAAGAACAAAAAACTCTATTTGTCCTTCTCTGCAAAGACTGAAGACGTCATTCACAGTCACTGCAGCTATTAATAGGTAGTTGTTTTTACAAATAAAATTAAATGAACACAGATGTTCCATCTTGGTTAGAAATCCCCTGTTGAATCTGGGGTCCAGACTCTCAGTGGATTCAGGCTGATTCCAAAAGCTCCAGAAGAGCCCCCACTGCTCCAAAATATCCCTGTTTTAAAACAAAGAAACTTAATGATTAAGTTCATGATTTAAAAATGCTGCATTTCATGCCATCTTCTCCCAACTCTCCTCCCCTCTCTCTCTTTCTTGGGATCCCTTTTTACTAAATTACAAAGCTCTCAGGAAACAGTTGAAAGACATAAATCCAACTGATTATTACAAGAACTAGGATGCGGTTTTCAAGATGACTGTGTTGTCCACGTCATACCACAAAGACAGAAAGAAACATGGCTTTTCAAGGGAAAAGGGAAGAACAGTAAGACTGCACTGCAGTGTGGCTTTACCTCATGTTCCAGGAAAAGCGCCTTCAGTTGTCCCTTTGACCAGTAGTCCAAAGCATATGCCAGAAACTTCATGGAGATGGTATTGATTCGCAAGAAGTTCCCCACAAAAACCACTCTATTAATGTTCTGAAAAAAGAGGAAAAATATTAGAACCTGATGCTTATGAAGAATAAATCAAGACAACGGGGATGCATTGTTCATTTAGGTCAAAGAAGAGGACAAGCAGCAGCAAGATGGATGGACTCAATTACAGTGGTGATGGGGGCACCATTGGAAGACCTGAAGCACCTGGATGAGGTCAGATCATCCTGCAGAAGGTCTGTCTACGTGGTTACTAAGAGTTGACATTGACTTGATGCACATAATCAATAGAACTCTATTATTCCCTTTCAGGTAACTTTTAATACCCAAGTTAGCCCCAGGCTCATTGACACAGTCTCTAAAAGGACACCAAAGTCTACAGGTGCCTTCCAGCAAAGCATACACCTTCTCAGCTCTTCATCTCCTGACTATTAAAGCTGTCCAGATGGAGGAGGAGTTTCTTATGGGTGCAAGGTGCTGGTCTCAAGTTAATGACAATGTTGGGATGGTTTCAGGAAAAGTGACATATATATAGGTTGGACAGTTAGATCTGAAGCTGGGGCTGGGTATCCCCGGAAGAAGGTTCCCAGGAGTAAAGCAATTCCCAGTTTTTTTTTCTGAACTCATTAGCTATCCAGAAGGCATCAGACTTAATACACACTCAGTTACTTACCTTAGGACTGGGGCTTAAGGCAGGGAATAAAAAAGTTTAGGAAAGAGCTGAAAAGTTGGTTTCAATCTAATGGCATCTTCTAATCTACTGGCAACTTCTAAACCTTTTCTAGGAGAGAACCATCTTTGCTTCCAATTTTCTGGCAGCTCTTTCCAAGCTCCTTGTGAGTCTGCCTAAGATATATGAGCTGCTCTATCAGGAAAGAGGTTTCAGCGGTATGAGGGAGTACACTCCCTTGCCTGGTTACTACTGCATAGGGAAGCAGTGACCGCAAGCCGACGCCACGCTTGGGTTCTTTCATAGCCCTGTACAATGCTGCTTGACATGGTTGCAACAAGGCAGCACTGTAAAGAAGCTGGAAGCGCCCAGCTTAATTCCCATGATGCAAACAGGTGCAGTGACTTCCTGCTATACATACCTTGTCCTCCGCTTGGAATATCAGCCATGTCCCCTTCCAGAACGGAGGATGCTATTTACTTTTTTAAAACAGTAGTGAAGCTACATCCCCCCTGTCTGTCTCCAAGCAATCTCAGAAAAAAACATCTGGGTACTGTTCACAGATGAAACATAGAATCACGCCTGCTGTGAGAGGCTGGGAGACCTTTCCACCAGCTAGTCTTCCTGCTCATCAGAGCCAAGGATTTCTGCACGTGCTACTCTCAGAAAGCTTCCCTTCCCCACCCATCCCTAAGAGGAACTAAGTGTAGCCCTGGCTGTTGGCTTAAGCCTGTACCTCATTCAGTGCGCACATTCGTGCGATGGAGCCAATGTTGTTGGTGATGGTGATCAAGGCTGCTCGCGCCAGGTCCTCCTTACTGGCTGCGTCTCGTTTCTCTTTGCTCATCATGTTTCCAAAGCTGGATGGAAGAGGGGGCACAGGCAGTTTTTAACAGAAGGAGGCGAGTTGAGCCACACCATTTCCAAGATACACACACACACACACAAACACAGGCACAGTGCCAAAGCAAGGACAGAACTCCAGATGAAGCTTTTCATAGATCCATTAATCTGGTAGAGATCAGAAGAACCTATTTCAGCCATAATGCTGGGTAGAGCAACGCTAGACATCTCCTTCTGCTCAAAACCAACCAAAAACATTCGCTGCAAAGGTCTATAGGCAAAATGTCACCATCACCAAACTCAAAAAAGAATAACTTCAGGGGAAAAAAGATAAAAAAGCATGAGACTCTTCCTAATCTGAATGTGAGGAGGAGGAGGAGGTCAGAGCTGAAGCCTCCAAAACATGCCAGAAAGAGTCTACACACACAATCAGCTTTTCATGCAGAGGACACACATTTATCCATGGAACTATTGGGCCAAACAAAGGAAACAGCTTAAAAAAAAAATCATGAAGTTGATTGCCTCTACTATGTTCAAGCAATGGCTCATTGATCCACCCTAAAATTTTAACCAATCCACAAACAAGTAACAAGCTGCCCAAGGTCACGGCAATGAGATGGCTGGCCATATAAATCTAATAAATAAATATTAAAAAAAAAAAAAAAAAAGGCCCAGCTTTCCAGGAATCTCTCAAGGATGCCTCTTTCCAAATCACAGGCTAAACCCACTGGAAGGGCCCGTATCTTTGCTCCTTCTCACCCACCACATTCAGAAGGATCCTCCGTTTACTATGAAGCCTTTTAGAGGGCCTGTCATGGAAGGGAGCAAAATAGAAATCTGCTTTTACTAGAGAACCCTAAATCTGGATCAATACCTTGTTATCCGAGACCCCAGAGATTAAATGTGCACTTTCAATGCTTTCTGCAGCTAAAATAGAGCTCTTCAAAGGAGTTACTCTGGAAGTGAACTCCAAGCGGAGCTACAATCATCCTTCATCCTTTGTCTCTCCCCTAGCCTAGACCCAGGACTCCTTCAAACCACAGGAATGCCAACTCACTCACAATTGTTGCAATATAGAGAAACATGGATATAAAATGAAAACCACATGGTTCTTAGACTCAGACATAACTTCCCAAATCCCCTAATCTTTACCGAGGCTATTTGTCTGAAGCAGAAAACTGATGCCATGACATTTTCTTTGTACAGTTAACACTGTGCAAATTGGCATTATTTTCAACCCATTCCATCTCAAAAGGTCCAAGGTCTCTAAGAATCCTCTATGCCACCCATGTGCATTAAGCCACCAACACACCATTTTCCCCTGAGGACCCCAAACTAGCAACAGAGAAGGGTGTTCCAATTGTGTTATGCTCCCAACTAAAACATCTCAGGAGGCCTTACCTGGATGCTATGGTCCAACCTGGCAGCCCGAAGCGCTCATAGTCCCCTCCATAAATATCCCGCACTAGTTTGTCCACTTTTGTGCTGTCTCCAAGGGATGCCATTTCAAGAGCCTCTTCAAAGGTGGAGCAGCCGGTCAGAAGACAGCAGAGGCCAAAAAATGTTCCTCCTCCAAGGCTAGCAAAGAAGACATACCAATCATGGCTGGTGTCCAGTGAATACTGCAAGGGGTGGGGAGGGGAAAAGAATCTTGCAATTTAGTCCTCATTAGCTAATAGCTGATATCCTGCTAATTGGTAAAGATCCTCCTAGGTAGGCTTTGCATGAAGTATGTCAATGTGACAAACTGTTTTAGCAATTTCATCTCCTCGAAACAATCCCAGAGAGTAATTCACACTCTAACAGTTTGATTTTTTTTTTCATGCCCATTTTCTTGGAAGGAAGCCCCATTACATAAACTTGTGCATTTGGCTTATTCCCAAATGCACAAGTTACCAATACAGTCTACCATCTACACCAAATCAATGCTCTTCCATTAAACTGCTGATATTCCTGAGTCCAACGTCAACAATTCAGGGACATGACTAGCTTATTCAACTTAAAAGCATTATGCTTTCCTTTGCGAACCTCACCTGGTCCCTGTCACTCGCTTGTAATTGTCTTTGGAATAGACTGCTAAGATGCTGACCCCTGAGCCGATGTTCACCAAAAGGAGAGGGTAGGGATTCTCCAAGTTGAAGGGGACCTTCTGACATTTTTCAGGATCTGTGGGGTTTTCAAAATAGTAGCACTCCGAGTGTCCATTGAACCCCACTGAATCAATGTAGAGAACTCCCTTTATAAGGCAGTCAAGTTCATCCATTTTGCACAGCCGAAGGTCACCCACCTGTTTGGAGAGACAAGCTTTGAAGAGAGCTAGAGAGAAAACATTCCCAGGAGGAACTGGGAAGGAGCAACAACCGGTTGGTGGAAGGCTCTTTCTCTGATGAACAGATCAACCAGACAGATTCCAATTCTACAAATGCCATAGCTTGCAAATCCCACTATTATTTGTGTTGTAGAAACTGTTTATACCAATCTATATTCATTTCGTCGGTATGAACTACAGATACCAGTGATCATGATCTGGGCTGTTGACAAATGCTTTTGCTTACTTCAACTTGACTGAGAGTTTCAACAGGGATAAAGAGGTGGTATCATGTCATTCTAGGCTGTTCTGGAAAGGTTTGCAAGGAAACACACACAACCACATTAAATAAGTGTCTTCCAATTCAACAGAAGAGCCAAGGCAAACAAGGGAATGGCATTCTCATGGAGCAGGCAGAGAATCCAAGATGCAGATTGTAAGGCTCTGGGAGGAGGTATTTAGGATTTTATGGCAGACAAGCAACAGGATGGCCATCATGGATCAAAAATTTGAGAGCTGCCCTCAAGTTTAACAACAGCACTGCCCTTTCACTGCTGTGTGGTATACTCTAACTGCATGATGGTTACATCTTTGGGAATTGAAAGAGATGCAGTAATTACCTAAAACAACCACAGACCTATTCTGCTTTCAGGATAAAAATGAGAAAGCCACGAGGACCTGAAGGGCTAGAAAGACCCAAGGACTAGCTAGCCTAAACACAGGACCACTTGGATGCACATCAAAAGGAAGAGCCCAGAGAGCAAATCCATTCAGCTGAATGAGCCAAACCAGGGAATGCATCAAAAGAAAGCCCACAGAGAAACCCAACCCCTCTCAGTAACACGGCCTTGAAAAAATTAATTTGGTCTGCAACCATCAATGTCTGACATGAGGAAAACAAGTTGAGGCCAACAGTAGAGTAGTTACAAATGATTCCACACTCAATCCTCGACAGGCATCATTTAAAAAGAAGAAAAGAAAAGAAAAAATGGCAAAGAGGAAGCTGGGAAAAGTCTTCTCTGTCAAATACTCTGCCCTGAAAGGATTCAGTGCCCCTACGTTCAAATTCACAAAGCCTTCAGTGCAGATGTGTTGGAGGGAAGGGTTGTTGGAAAGCAGCAATAAATATAAGAAGATGCTAATATTTTTATATCAGACGGAACCACTGGCCCAACTAAGAACATTCAGGATTGCCTTTCCCAATCTCATGCCCACCAGATGTATCAGTCCATCTTTAGAGATTCAGACAGCATTTCCTAGAAATAAATGGACCTGCAACATGGGCCCACAATGGAATATTAATCTATGGCTCTTCCTTGAAACATATTTTGTCCCCTCTTTATAGAATATCTAAAGCAGGGTTCCTCAACCTTGGCAACTTTAAGATGGGTGGACTTCAACTCCAAGAATTCCCC